CATCTTTAAAAGTTTTTCAAATATCACTATTATAGATATTGTATAGAAGTTTGCCAATGCTTGATCAATCTATCCAATGCTAAAGATTAGATTCAAAATTCAGATTTTGATATATTTGTGACAATTGATATCGAAAAATATAATATAGAAAAATTAAATTAAGCTAATTAATTACATTTCCATTTAATAATTCTGATTGTATAGACAGTAAAAAATTGCAAGTTTTCTTTGTTTATTGTTAAATTGGGAAATTTAATATAAACATATTTCATGACAAATAGTTGATTGTTTTTTTGAAAACCAAGAACATCATTCTGTTTGTACAATTTGTGACATCTTTGATATGCCACAAAACTAACGAACTGATCTGATAATCCAAGTTTATTGTTGGTGATATGCAAAGATTTATAAAAGAGCTCAAATTCTTTATTACCAATTTTAATTAGCATCAATTTCATAAATTTTAAAAATACATCTATTGCACTATTTAATAAATTAAATTGAATTCTATAGTTCATAATTCATAATAAAATTTACATAAAACAACTATCTAAAATTTGTTAGAATTTGATAAAAATTCATATTTGGATACTAAATAATTTTTGAATATATTATCTATTTCTTCATTATCATCAAATTTATCATTTTTAGAACTTGCATTATTCAATCTCAAATTTTGTTGTTTGTTGCTTAATGACATAATTTGACTTGATAAAATATTTCTCATTCAATGTCAAAATGTAAATTCTTTATTTGTCAAATGTTCATCTTTTGTTTTTCAATATCTATGTGAAAATTTTATTTGTGGATTAATAAGTGATTTATTGCATTTATTGCAGTTGCAAATAATTTTCATTTTTTTTAGATTTTTTCTTAAACTTTTGTAAAGTAAAGCTGAAATTAAATACTTTCTTGATATTTTGAAAATTGCCAAATAGTAACATAAAGTGACAAAGTTATAATTAATATATTAAATAGCTTCAAATTGTAATATAATACAAGCATAATATGATGAATAATATATAGTATAATATAGTATATAACTTTGAATTGCAATATAATATAATAAATAATAGTATAATATTGTATGCATCTCCAAATTGGATTAAAATAATACAAATAATTTTATTTAAATATCCTTTTAATTTAATATTTTTTTCTGATACTTAAAATGTTTGAACTAAAAAAATCAACTGGACATACTTGTTATAGAGAACAATTACTCTTACCTTTATAATCTTCATAATCTTTGTTGCCATCACAAACTTCCTTCATATCAACTACATTAGAAGCAGGAACAGTTCATTCAGTAACACCTGATACCGAATCTTTAATCTCTATTATAGCTATCAAATTGCTTAAAAGAAGACTATTTATTGTATTGCCTAAAATATTGGTATCTGAAGTTGTATGAATATCAATACTGGAAATTGAATTGCCATCTAAAACTCAAATCAAAAAGGATATTGAAAAAGATTAAAATTAAATTATTACTGAATTATTAAAATTTATCTTTGACCTATGGATCAATAGTGCAGTGGTTAGCACTCCATAGGTCAAATCACAAAATACAAGTTCAAATCCCGTAGGGGGCATGAATATTTATCCATTGGCCTAACTGTATATAACCGATGTTTCTGAATATAGCTACCGATCAGCAAGGAGGGAACTTGTTGATCATGTAGATAGTCTATATAAAGATTATGATTGGACCAATCTCTGAAGTCAAAGTTAGGACTATCCTGAGTTGGTAACTTTACCCCTGAAGGCAATAAGAAGAGATGATCTAATTGACCAGTAGAGTGCCTCTGAAACAAGTACTTGGTAATACCATGTTTTCATTACCTTAACTATCGGGAGGTCTTGGTGAGAGGAGAAACCCATGAACCACTCCGAAAAATCAAAATACCGGGTTCAGGATAAAGAAAATTCGACGGCCTGATAACCAGCCTGCTCTTATTGGTCAAAGAAAAATTGTGCTGGGAACAATCAAGAAGGAATCACAGGGCTTTCTGATGAGGTAGTACTTATATATATAGTATAGTCTATATAACTAGCTAAGTATAGATATGATACTAAGAATAGTTGATATACATAGTACTTATTTAGCATACACAGAGTAAACAGAGTAATATGTAGGGAGGGGTTGCATATAAATTACTGTACAGTTACTAAGTAGATGCAGGAGTCAAATGTAAATTAAAATTTGCTAAATAAAAGTCTTGGACACAGTATTCTGGTAGATAATTCGCAAGGCATTGGATTAGTCAATGGTGTTCTTTGGTAAATAGTCAGCAGGTTTAAAAAATTTAGGTCGATTATCTGGTGGTCCACATAGTTTTAAAAATTTTTTCAGCACTAGTTAGACCTTAGACTAGTTCTCTTTTCCTTCTTAAGAGATGGCTAGACCACAAGGTGAAGTCTCCATAAAGGAGCTCTTCTATTGTAATACTTTATTTGTACAAACACTTCTTATATATAGTCCCAGAAAAACTTTGTTTTCTCTATCTTATGTAAAGATCTCTCAATAAAGTTTTGGCTTAGCCAGCATTAAAAAAAAAAAAAAAAAAAAATTAAAATTTATCTTTATTAATCAACTAATTTATTTAGAAAATAAAGAATTATGTATAGAGATCAAAAAACTAGAAAAAGAAAATACCGAATTTGTAAAATAATTAAATCTAATGAAATATATTAATAACAAGTTTTCCGAAGAATCAAAATAGCAAAAAAATGAAATAGAAGATTTAAAAAAGGAAATTAATCAGCTCAAATCTGTGAAACTTGAACTTGATCCTATAGTTGTTATAGAATCTAGAGCAGTTGATATATCAGAATCTGAAAATTTGCCAAGTTTAAGAAAGTGTCAAAGAATTTAATCTAAAAGGAGTAGTAAAGAGACAAAACCAGTAAAACTAATTATCAAAGATAAGCCGAAACCAGAAGAAGTGAGAATAGAAATGAAAGCCTTAATGAAAATCATTCTTGATGAATATAAACTGAGGATAAACGAAGTTTTTTTGAGTGATGTGAATAAAAAAATATTACAAAAGTTGATACCCGAATTAATAAAATTTATGGTCCTATGATTTAATCTTTCATGAAAGCAAATAAATAAATGGTTAGGCACTTTACATTGCTATTAGAGAGAAAGATATCAAAAGGTAAAGACTGAAAAACTGGAAGCAGACAATCATCACATACATGAAAATAGCCAGTTAAACAAAGTAAGATTACTAATATTCTATATTTATACTCTTTCAAGTATTAATTTTTAACAAATAATTAAGAAAAGGACACAAAGAATTAAAAGTACACAGTTGCTTGTTGAATGAAAATCAAAAAAAGTTGTCAAATATTGAGATGAATTAATTGATATAATTAAAGAAACAAAGGTACATTCATCTGAAGAAAGTGAAACTGATCTGGAAAACACTATTAAAAGAAGAATAAATGTATATGATTACAGTTGATATTCTGAAAAGGTATTTTTTAGCAAAATATTTTATGTCGAATAATTATAATATTAATCATAATTATCTATAGTTAAAGAATTTGTTAAAATATTTGGATGAATATTTGAAATTAATTCAAGTGTTCCAACTAACTCGTAAATAATATCATGATTATTCATAGTTTTATGATATGACTCCACCAGAAAGCTTGTTGAATTGGACATATAGTTTGGAAGAAATTTCAAAATGTGAACAAGAAAAAGAGATAAGAAAAGGTAAAAAATCAGCAGATAAATCCAAAAGATGAAAAATTATCAAATATGAAAAATCGTTAATGTGTTCAGAGAGTAAGGAACAAATTAGAAAAAGTGCATGAATGGATAAAATTTAGAGATAATTAGATTAAAAGAAAAAAGTAAAAAATCTTAGAAAACATTCAATAAGATAAAACTAATTGAGACGAGTTTTAAAAGAGTCAAGCTAAGATCTTTAAAAAGAAAAGAAAAGCAAGTAAAAAAGGAGAAAGAGGAGGAAGAGGAAAATAACAAATAATTTAATCAATTGATTTTGTAATTTTTTAATAAATTTTGTGAAATTTGAATTTTTTGCTGCAATAATTTTTTTGCTGAATTTTTTTCCACAATAATTTTTTTTGCTGAATTTTTTCTCACAATAATTTTTTTGCTGAATTTTTTGTCATAGTATCAATTTTTTTGTAAATTTTTTATACTATATCAATTTTTTTGCCATAGTATCAATTTTTTTGCTGAATTTTTTATCACAATATCAATCTTTTTGCTGAATTTTTGACCACAGTATTTTTTTTCACAGTATAGTAATATTTTTTGTTGATTTTTTGCTAATATTTTTAATACCGAGTGATAGCAATTGTAAATAACTCATCAATCTTTTTATTATTAATTTTTATCAAATTCAGCAATAATTTAACAGCCGAATGACACAATTTCAACTAGTGATAAGTTAACAATTTATTTTTTTTTGAAATAATCAATAGCAACAAATTATTAATAATGATTTAAATAGGTTAAATAACAAGTATCAAACCTATCAATATTGTTTAAAAATTTGATATAGAATATTTATTTGAGATTTAGTTTTGTTTAATCCAAATTAACTTAGTTAACTTTTTATATTTTTAAGTAATATAATTCTTTAACTAGTTATCATGTAAAAGTTGATACAATTTAAAAATAATTTATTGATATTTCAATAGAAACATATCACAATGACATAATTGTGAGTTAAAAAAAATTTATAAAATCAAAGTGCTATATATTTCTTTTAATTTTGAAATTTTTTAGTTTAACAGAATTGTAATAAATAACTGGAATTAAACAATGGTTTGATAATATGCAGTATTCACAGATATTATATATAGTATACACAATGTATGTATACATTTATAAAAAGCCATTAACATAAATGGTTTTTTTTTAATTATATATTTTCTTCATTAGAGAATTTTTGCTGGTTTATTGGAATTGAGGTTCGTATACCGCGAAACAATGCACATGCGTATTGTAATTAAACTAACGAGAATCCATCATCTTCAAAAAACAAGTAGGGCTTAATATTGACTTTATAGACGTTTAACACGTATTCCTTTGAAACCTTATAAGCCACGGCTTTCCCTCTCTTTTTGATAATATTTTTTTGCCTCTCAGGTAATTCTTCATACCTACGCATCAATTCTTCATCCTTCTTGAAATCCTCCATTGCATCGTTAAATAATAATTCGGCGATTTTCTGCAGCTCCTTTTCTTCGACAAACTGGACACCCTTTTCAATTTCATCATCATCATCACCCCTCTTAACGATTGGGCCATACTTTGAAATAACGTTGGCAAATCTATTGGAATTGACAAAGCAATCAAATTCCTCAATCAAACTATCTATTGACTCGCGTGAAATCCTTTGATTTAATTTTGCATTTTGACGCTTGCTTGATCTCACGCGTTCTACGAAATCGGGAGTCTTAATTTTAAATACGACGCGTGTTTGACGAACGTTAGCTTTCGTTCGAAGAGTTTTCACAGGTTTCAAGATCACGCCTTCTGCTTTGTTTGGGTATGGCAATTGAGGTAAACCTAAAATTGTCTTGAAAAATGAAAAACGTATAAATGCTACAGCACACATTATACATATAGCGTATAAACGAAAGAAAGAAAGACATACAGGAATGGTGGTGGTAAACTCTGGATCATAATTATAAGCATCATTGAAGGTACCTCGAAACAGAGGTTTAAGATATGGTAATCCCGATTCTTCCAGTACTTCAACCATCGTATCGTATTCCAAATAATCACTCCCATCGAAAATGTCAAAGGCCATGAATTCGTTTTGCGGACAATACTCGATTCCAAATTGAACTATCTTCGAGCCTGGTACCGGCTTTACGTCTGGATGAGAATATTTTCCACCAAATAGCTCTCCATATACTATAATTACCTTTTCGTTCTGACTAGTTCGAATCAATTCTCGAGAATTTATAATTTCCCATAAATTTAGCAAATTTTCTCGGTATTTTTTCAACGCATTTTGGAATCCAAAGAACTCTTCGGTTTCCTTTAGCGTTCTGGATCTACTGGCGCATTTTATTTGCTTTCCATCAGTTTGGAAGGAGAAATTACTGCCATGGATTTTTTCAGTGACTACCCAACTTTATGATAGAATACATGAATTTATAGCGAAAATGACATGAATTTACAACCCCGAGGCGAGAAATCATTATACATACTCACAAACATTCAAAAGATTTTCGTTTTTAAAGATTTCAATCCTTTTCTCATTTGAAATGGTCTCGATTGAATGGTATGGTATGTGTACATTCCAATCAGAATTTCCGGCAGAAGATTGACTGGTTTCAGGCATTTGGACTTTTAAAAAAAAAAAAGAACTTATTTCCTCTTTTATCAATATAATTTCTTCTTTTATCAATATAATTTCTTCTTTTATCAATATAAATTTGCGGACTATCTTCCGATTAATGTCTATATAAAGTAGTCTAATTTTAAACGCAGCATTGCCTCCGTGCACAAAACAATTTTGTGGACTTTCTAAATCGGAATAACAATTGCACGAACAAATTATTTAACGCAGTAGCACATGGTAACCAATTACTTTTGAAGGTGACAAAATGTTAGGTGCGTATTATTTTTCGTGTTTTCAAACTTCTTTTATTATACATCGTTAATGTTCTTAAAGCGATTTTATGACACATGGCGTGAAACAAAAAATCTTAAATTGCATGACCTAATAATATATTTGACTATAGTCATGCGTTCACTAATTTAAATTAAAAAAAAAAAAAGGTTCAATTATTATTATTATTCGATGACCAAAATTTGGGAACTTCAAATATTCCATACTTTATATTAGAAACAAAAAAAAAAAAAGAAGAATCTAGCACGTGAAAAAAAGCTCTGGACGTGTCGATTTATACTTGAGCGGGAGATTCCGAGACATATCGTGATTTTCGCAATACTAATCTTTTTGATCACATACAGATTTTGATTTAATACTTGTCAGTAATATTGTGAATTTTAAATTTTATTTTTAATAAATATAGTTTTTTTATTATAAATTTTAACTTAATTTTACCAATTTTTAAGTTCATAATTAGATATTCAAGAATTGTATGTAATATATCAATTAATATTTATACATACTACTTTTTATATTTTTTGATAAATAAAAAACATACATTTAAATAGAATTCAGGTTCTTAATATACTTTTATTAATATTGAATAGTTGTGATATTTTGAATATTGATATGGGATTTCAAAAGGAAAAATCAAAATTAATAATTTATTAATTTTATAATTTATCAAAAAAAAAAAATTATTATTTATTATGGAAGTTTTGTTTTAAAAGATATCTTATTGCTAATTTAAGTTATAGTATAAATAAATTTGAATAATACAACTTAAAAAAAAAAATGTATATTATAAAACATTAAATATTAATAGAATTTTTTTTTTATATCAATGCTATACATCATATACCTAATTCGGTAACGGCATTTTTTTTTTTAAAGTGTCGCCCGATTTTTTTTATGAGGTGACGAAAATTTTTTGCAATTTCCTCCATGCGAATGTTGTCAAAAATATTAAAACTATTAAATGGAACAGAGCCAAGGTGCACGATTTCCGCCGGTGCGATAATTTTTCGATTTACGAAATTGATGCAATTAAAGTGATTACATCATGAAAAAAAAAAGTTCCATTCTTCTTTTTTTGTCTACGTAATCAAGATCCACACGCTATCGTTCCACATTCTATACTCCTTATTTTAACCCCCTATTCCATTCACGAATTTTATTTTGCTAATTTATGATATTAATAAATAGTGACGGAAGTACTTCAAAGACGAAAATTCCTTAATGAAACCATAATTTAAAAAGCACTTTTGCTGAGTTAATAAATTACGAAAAGTAAGCAGGCATATAATTAGCAAGACGATACCTCCTTAATTGTCGAAATGGGTTCCGAGCGTCCTTTCACTAGTTCGAATTGGACTCCGCAGTTTGGCAATAAATTCACGAGAGAGCCTACGAGATCTAGTAGCATGATTGTTAATCGGGATCTCACAAGGTCGGCTGAACTCAAACGTTTGTCCAGCATGTCCGGAAAGAAAGACTTTTCGGACTTGCAAATTCCAACCATAACGGAAAATGCGGAAGATGTCACTGGTAAGAGTCTGGTGAGACCTTATATGCATTCGTAATTAGACAATTATGCGCGAATAATTTGTTATCGACAGTTAATCTCTTACGTAGAAGCACTCAATCAATCTTATGACGCGTAGCTTGATGTCATATTTCTTAAAATCTTGTTGAAATTGTCGAATCACGCGTATTACCCAAATTCATGTATATCATCTAACCGAGTAATGTTATGTTGTAGGTTTGAAAGGTCGCATCAGGCTTCAAAAAACTGGGGAACGTCAAAACTCGCGAAATTGGGCCGATCAACAACGAAAAAACATTCAGGCTTATGAATACTTATGCCACATTGGAGAAGCAAAAGAGTAATTATAAAGTTGACTGTTCAACTTTGAGATGCTTTTATTTTATCAAATGCTAAACATTCTTTAATAGGTGGATAGAAGCATGTATCAATGAGGAGATTGATCCGATCATTATACTGGAAGAAAGTCTTAGAAATGGAATTGTGCTGGCAAAACTGGCCAGATCCTTCGAACCTTCTGTTGTCAAAAGAATATTCGAGGTTATTAATCGTTAAGATGTGTTATTATTTGAAGGTTCACAACAAATTAACGGTTAACCATCATCCCGTAGTCTCCAAAATTACAATTCCGTCATTCGGACAATATCAACTATTTTTTCTTTGCAATAAAAAAAGTCGGATTGCCCAAGGTGTGTGATTCATTTTGTTTTTCCAATACGTGTGTAATTGTGGATAACGATTTAAATGCCCACTTAGATTTTCTGGTTCGAATTAACGGATTTATATGAAAAGAAAAACATTCCAAAAGTTATTTATTGTATACATGCTCTAAGGTATATTATCTAGAATAAAAAGTAAATGGATAGATGACGCATTTTATTCAGTTTTTTCCGGTTTTTTATTTAGCCACTTGCTGTCTGGAAGAGGCCTCACGATTAGAATTAAGAATTTGGTGGGAAAATTGGAATTTACCGGTAGGCGTTATTCACCCGTTTAATATACATCCGTTGTATTTTTGATGAAATTAAACAATTGACTTTATAGATGAACAATTGCACAAGACACAAAAAGGATTGGATGCTTCAGGAATTATCATGCCAAGTTTTGCTAATGTTGGAGTAGCATTGGCGGCGGAACTTAACGAACCTTTGGAGACATTATTCATACAACCTGAACCTGCAGTGGAACCAGCAAAGGCGGTAATAGAAGAGTCCGAGGAAGAGAGTATGTGCAAGCAAACTTTGAAGATTTAAGCTTTTTTAACCTTTAAATTATAACGCGCCGTTTAAATCTAACGAAGAAATGATCAGATATTGGTCGGAGAACAAGGAATCTCTCTTAAAATGCCAGTCCATTGCGCGCACTCATCTTGCAAGAAAAAGGTTATTAAAACGAAGAGCTGTACACCAATCAATTATACCCTTCATAATTAAGTTACAAGCGCAATCTCGTGGTTGGTTGGTGCGAGCGGAATGGAATAGACGTTTGGACCAGATGGAAAAATTAGAGAAATGGATTGTTCAGGTTTGCAATGTCAAAAACTTGTTATCTTCGTTTTCCCCAATACGAAATATTGATGATTCATGTTAATGCCCAAAGTTGCAAGCTGGCATACGTGGAAAATTAGCCCGAACAAGGCATCTCAGTCGAACCGATCATTATCAAAAAAAACATCGATAAAGTTATCAAGATTCAGAGTTTATATCGTGCCAAACTCGCGGGAGATGCTTACCGAAGTTTGGGTAGGTTCATTGGTGATTTCATTTTTCATTTCACTTCATTATCTAAAAAAAAAAAAAATAATAATAATGCAAGCAACTCATACCTCTATTTAAAAGTAATGGGGAGCAATCCGCCAGTGGGAACCATAAAGAATTTTATTCACTTATTGAACGACAGTGAATTCGATTTTGAAGAAGAAATCGGTACGATTTTTTTTCTGGGTCAAATTCATTCGCCTTTGAAAGGTCTCGTTTTGTTTAACGGTCGATTTTCCACACAGAGTTGGAACGTTTGAGACAAGCAGTCATTCAGCGTATTCGTGACAACAACCAATCAGAGGATCATCTAAATCAACTAGACATTAAAATCGCTTTGTTAGTTAAAAATAAGATCACCCTGGATGAGGTTATTGCTGTGGCCAATCCAAAGAAACGCAACCGACGGATTTCCCAACTCAATTCTCCGACTGGTCATTTATCTTTGCAATCTTTGGACAAGGTATCGCGTCATCGACTGGAATTGTATCAACAACTCTTTTACCTTTTACAGACACAACCGACCTATCTCGCAAGACTTTTCTTCATAATGAACAAGATGGGATTTTCCGAAAAGACAAAGAAGTTGGTTGAGGGAGTGGTTTTAACGTTGTTCGGCTATGCTCAGAATGCGAGGGAGGAGTATTTGTTGCTCAAGTTATTCCAAAAGAGTATGATGGAGGAGTTGGAGAGTATAGATTCATTGCAGGAATTCTTAAGAGGAAATTTCATGTTCATGAAATTAGTTGTCCATTATAATCGCGGAGCAAAGGAACGAAAATTCTTGCGAGATCTGCTCAGCCCCTTGGTAAAACATATTATGGATGATGAATCGTTGGACCTGGAAACGGATCCTTTGAGTATCTATCGGACATTGGTCAATGCGGAAGAGTTAAAAACTGGGCACAGATCCAGTAGACCAACCGACATCACGCAAACGGATGCACTCAATGATCCGGAGACAAGAACCGTGTTCATCCATCACCTACAAAGACTTCGTAAAGAGACTGATATGTTTTTGACGGCCATAATAAATTCAATTGATAAGATGCCTTTCGGAATACGATATATTGCCAAAGAATTAAAAAAATCACTGATGGCAAAGTTTAGTCATGAAAGCGAGGATTCCGTGATAAAGGTTGTTGGACACTTGATCTATTATCGATATCTGAATCCTGCCATCGTGTAAGCATTCACGCAATGTTCATTCAATCAATCTTCATATCCATTGATCTTTGACAACATTTCACTTTCAGTGCACCCGAAGGATTCGATGTAATTGAAAATGTAGTTAGTCCAATGCAGCGAAAAAGCTTGGCCGAGGTTTGTGCAAGTTTTTATTTTTCTTGATGTGCCGAAAAGATCATCTCCTTTGTTCGATGAATGATTGACGCATTTTATCAACGCAATGCAGATATCTAAAATGTTGAATCAAATTTCCGTGGGTAAACTGTTTAGCGAGGATAATATGTACTTGCAGCCTTTGAACGAGTATGTTTCATATGCGGCAAATAGATTCTCCAAATTCTTTAAGGATGGTATGTGTCACTCGGAACCACACTTCCTTCTTTATTCCGTAAAATAATCATGTCAATTTTCTATTGCCCCTGTTCCTCAAATAGTCACCGATATTGGGGAAGCGGAAGCATTTTTTGGCATCGATGAGTTTGATGACCTTGCCAGGACGCACAATCCGATCATATACATTTCACCACAAGAGATATATTCTACGCACGAATTATTACTGCAACAATTGGATCACATATCACCTCAGTCGAATGACGTAATGAGGCACATATTTCAAGACCTCGGAGAGGCTCCTAGTTTCGAGGACGATTCAGATGAAAAAGAGATATCATTGACACTCACAAGTCGACTTGCTTTGGAAGCGATGAGCGATCCTGATGCCGAAATCAAGCACCTGTTCGTTGAAACAAAGCGTACAGTCCTATCCATAATGCGAGTGCAAAATGGTACGAGTCTGTTGGACATTCTCTTAAAACCGGTGACCCCGCAAGATGAGGTTTCCTATGCAGAATTATGTAAAAAAGATCATGAAAAGAGAAAGTCCAATTCGGGAAGTAACGCAAGCAGTGCCAGTGGTAGAAGTGGAGCAAGTGGATTAAGTGACATTAGTCACATGAAATTCTTGGACGTTAAGAAATTGACATTACAAAATATACTGAAATTAGAAAAGGAGGAAAAAGTGACGCGAAAAAATAATTATCAAGATATGCTAAACGCGATTGCTACGGACATAAGGAATAAAAATAGGAGACGAGTTCAAAGGCAAAGGGAGCTGAGGCAGCTGAGGCAGACATTGATTAACTTAGAAGAGAAGCGAACACATTTAGACGAGCAGATCAAAATTTACAACGATCACATCGAAGTTTGCATGCAACAGTTGTCCACCAAAAAAGGGTAAGGCATCGTATGTTTCCTTGAGATTCATGATTTTATCACCTTTAATAATTAATTACATTGAGTCATTATCTGAACATTCTTTTTTTTTCTTTTAGAAAGAAAAGTCGCCTAGTCTTGCCATTCACGAGACAATACTTTCATCTTCGAGAATTACAAAAATCCGGGAAGGTACCACAATTTGGATCATTCAAATACACGGCCCAACGACTTCACGAAAAAGGAGTATTGATCTCGATCTCAGGCTACCCCACGTTGGACAAGATCAGTTTCACCATATCATCCGATGAAGTGGGAATTTTCACCATTGACGCATCCTACGCCGGAGTGCCGGTACCGGGAGCTCAGATGGAATTGAGATTAGAGGATTTGTTACAAAGCCGATTTAACAATGTGCAGGTGATGAGTATATTTGATGGAGTGGCAAAAGTGAACGTTAACTTGTTGTTGTTTTTAATCAACAAAAAGTTTTTCGTGTGAAAATGAGCCGTATCCATGTATTATATAATGTACAAGTAAATAAGCGGTTGTCTATATTTATTAGGATAGTATTTATGTTTGTAATATTAACATTACGTATCAAGGATAGTCTTGTCAACTATTTACCAAGAACTGTAATTACGTGACTTATCTAACTAACTTAAATCTTACATTCGGAGAAAAATTTTAATTGTTATTTTATCTTGTTAGTCATAATGAAAGTTTTTCGTAGCATTTATTCATTAAGATTGAAATTTTGGTAAAGTTTTTTAGCGCCAGCGATTGTATTGCCAATTAACGAATGCATCATCCTGCGACTGCTCACCAAAAGAATTTATGTATAGTGGAATAAAGGGCGAGCATCGTTTTTAAAATTGAACTACCGAATTGTCGAACGCGACACCGACAATCCCTCCTCGCATTTGCGAGGGATAAAAAAGAAAAAACGTGAATGAACCCGTAAATTTTAAGTTTTACGAGTTACTTTTATTTTCTGCATCTTTCACGTCTCATCAACAGCTTTTTTTTTGCCCAAAGTTATATTACAATCTCCGAGATCCTTTTCATCTCTGAACTCTCAAACAAATCCGCATGAACATAAAACTGATTCTTGGGTTTCGTTCTCTTGCCCGAACTCGTAATGGCACTTGGATTCCCCATGTGGTTATTCTTGACCCTCCATGTAGTAAAAACTCTTGATGATGGTTCGAGGGATTTAACTTGGAGGGTAGTAAAGTTCGAAGTACCTAATAACGTGAATGTCTCAAAAGTCAGGAGCGTTTCAGGGGTAATCTTTGAACCGATAGTATTCTCGTCCTCGAAGCATTCCTTCTTTGACGGATTGTAAATGATTTTAGCTACATATGGCGAAATGCACCAATGAATCAAGGTCGTTGATGCAGCACTTGTTGAAATCACTATGAATTTTTTTTTTTTTTTTTTTGCTATTAACAAATAATCCGATCAAAATTGAAACAGTGAATTATTTCCGTCATTTGGGCATACCAAACAAAGCCATCAAAGCCTGAGCCTTCAGGTTCAAGGAACTATTCAGAATAAAAATCAATGGTGTAACTGACACGGTACTTATCAGAGACGCGATCGAGAATTTTTTTAATCTTTTACAAGCTCTCGCCAATGGAGCTTCGTAGATGACATGCTGTTCGACATCTTTTTTTTTTTCGATTGAACTCGCGGAGAGCAATCTAAGCGATGGAAATCCCGAATGATTGAAAAAGATTGATGATCCTGGGGAACTTGAGATCGACGGGAACTTGCATCTTGAAGAATAATTGGTTAGGAAAGATTGATTTGGTGTAAATATTTGGCAATTGAACGATCGTATTTTACTAGCTACGATTCGGTTCAACATGTTTGGTTATGATTATGGTTTGCGCGGTGAATACTAATGTACATACGCACGTACGTATACCGTATACAAATAAAGAAGTTCAATTCAACTTCGGAATCCTGGTTTCTAACTAGACTCCGGTTCATCATCGCCGTTACACGAAATTGGAATAGATATGCTGTGAGCGACTTAGAGTTTTAATTAAATATAGTTACAGATAAAGTATATGATCAAATAAACCTAATGAAATCACAAATGAAGTTTAAACTCTATATAATTTTTAAATCATTAATTAAAAATCGATTTAATATTTAAAATGTGTGAAAAGATAAAAATAAATTTAGATAATAAATCAACAAAAATGCATATATTGTAATTGATTTATAATTACTATACAGTATAGTTCTTATATAAAAAAAATTTTTTTTTGATTGAATGATATACATAATAAAGTTAAAAGTAAAGTTGATTTGTTTAATGATTTTATATATTTCTAACGAAAATTTATTTAATATTATATTTTCCTTACGTTTTATGCCGCGTTAAAAGACAATTGATAATAATTCTTATTGTGAATAAGTATGATTCTAAATCCAAATTTGGACCCGAGCATGTTTACAGATCGGTTCCGATCTTATAAATATTCGTCCGTATGAAGCATTGGGTTCGAACGATCACTTTGAATAAATATAGAATATCCTCAGATAAGAAATACGGAATATGAACGCAAGCATAGAAGGCGAAAGGTTGTTGTTTAACACCGACTTCACGAGTCATTTAAAAAAATTAGAAAATCATTAAATTATTATTATGTGTATAATTGTCTATATGTAATTAATAAATATTATATCATCCTATTAACCAATTTTTGGAAAAATCAAGGAATTCAGCTTATGGTCATAATTTTCTCGTCCAGTATCTATAGTTAACATCGAAAACGTTTCTTTTTGACTCAATCTCATTAATAACCAAATTGACACAGTGATCGTATCTTTCTTCACTCCAACCGAATGAATTGAGAATCTTTTTCATGTTCTTTGCGCCCCATCTCAAGTTCTCCAAGTGCATACAGCCCAATTTACCTCCCCAACTACCCAACGGAATAAATTTTTCTTCTTGGTTGAAGTTCGTCAGGAGATGGTTGTTTAGAAGCAAGGGTTTCGCAAGTGTACTTGATTCCATTCTTACCCCGTGGTTGATAAGCAATTCTTTGGAAACTTTTAATGGAAATATGTGATTAGTCTTTATCTTGTATTCAGGAGGACGACATTTAATATGAAATGATACCTTTTGATCGGAATTTATTAGTTTTGGGACCTATATTTCTCCATGTATTGTCAGTATCACATACTTCAATCCATCCGCCAGGTTTCGTTACTCTAATAAGTTCTTCAATAACAACTTCCCAGCTGGATTCCGAAAGAGACAATCCCATGAACCTCATATGAACAAAATCGAACACGTTGTCATTGAAGGGTAAACCCTCTACCACGTTCGCAACTGCAAACTTGACATTTTTTGGTTTAATAAGCATGGGAAATAAAGGTAATATGTCAACGCCATAGAATTTTGTATTTTCGTAGGTTGACGCCATTTCGAGAATCCACGCTCCAGCGCCGCATCTATTGAGAGAAGATCAATGTAAATAAAATTTAAATTCCCCTTAAAATTTTACAAAAATATAATGCTTTTTATTTTGTTACCCCACGTCGAGAACCCTCGTTCTACCACGCTTTAATACATCCTCTACGGGTGAATTAAAGTTACCTTCCCACATATCTCTTATTAAAAAATGTTGTATTTGTACTCTGTCGCATTCATTGTATCTTGACGCGTCATCTGAGCAATACAATTTTGCGGTACCCACCAAAGAGTCATTGTTTGAGGAGCTATTTGACGCATAGGAGAGATCGCTTACTGAGGATCGAGGGGTTGTAGTCTTTAAAGATGAACAATTTCGAGGGACGGCAAGATGATTATCATGTTGCTTTGAGACTACTTTTCCCATGTTCATAAACTGCTCCTCTGAAGACTCTTGTAGGGGTGAGTATATTTAGAAAGGCAATAAAATTTTAGAAATAAAGTATTTTATTGCTCCAGGGATTTATAACGTAACTTTTCATTAATTAATGTCGGTGAATGGAATACGATAAATAATATTTATATATTTCAATCCCCAGGTTCACAAAGTTTTATATTCTTTGCTTTTGTGGTTTATGGGGGATAACCTTTCTTAAATTAAGGTTCTCCGATAGATGACCAATATTTTCTTATTTTGAATTTATACATATAAAGATTAGAGAACAAATGACACAATTTAAGGTCTTTAATACTAAGTTATTTCGAAGTTAGTCTTAGGGAAAAACCGGAAAATTTATTGACTCTTTGATACATGTACTACTTGAAATTTTTAGCTTCGGCTGACCATTTTAAGTTGATGGGCGCTTTATCAATCCAATTTCCTTTACTAGTAGAACACGTCTTTCATGTGCATTATTCAAGCTTTTTCCTTGCGCATTACGCATTATAAGAAATGAATTCAAGCACCGAACGAACTAACAAAAAATGGGTAGGAAAGGAATAGAGCACGCATATGCATTATGAGCCAAGTATTTATCAATGTAATCGAAGCAAAAAGAAAAATCTGTTGTTATCTAATAGAAATAATTGATTGAATGAATATACAGTATGTACTGTATACGCAATCAATTCGTATCAAAGGTTCCATTATTGCAGTTTACGGTGAATAGGTTTACTTCAAATAATTAGTGCAACAAGAATAAGTTTCGTACTATAAAATTTCAATGAATAAGTGTTTCGTACTATAAAATTTGACGAATTAATTAAAAATCAATTATCGGTTGGATACTTAACTTTCTTTGATACCAGATTTAAATTTGACATACAGTATAAACTTATTGGTCGAAGTTTTTTATCGTTATGATATGCAAATACATTCTTTAAAATAGTTAATTGAAAAACGAAAAATGTTTATCCGTTGTATTAAATTAAGTAAAAACAAAGATTTAAATGGTCACTATACTTTTCAATTAAATTAAATTTAAAAAACTCCCTTTTATTAATTTATTATTATAAACAAGGTGTCTATGTATAATAAATTTAAAATAAAAATGGTACGATCTATAACTTCAATTAAATATAAAAATTTGAATTCATTTATTATATTTTTATTATAGACTTCACCTTTACCAATTTTAAGTTATCCAAAAACTATAAAAATTGCATATGAAATACTTTGATATCTATATTATTATTATTATCGTAAAATTTTATAAGCTATTATATTTACTATAAATATTGTATTGCTTAAAAATTTTAATTATAGTTTATTATTTTTATTTTTATTATTTTAATGCATAATTATATTATTATGATATATCTTTATTGAAATATTAAATAAATATTTATTAATAATAATTAATTTATCATTATATATTATCAGCCTTGAGGATTGCATTTTTTTTTTTCTTTGTCAAGATGTATTCTTTTCTTGATCTCAGTTTCTGATTTATCCTTCAGTATTGTATATCAATTGAATCTTATGTTACTTTTGATATCAGTTTGATCCATTTTTATACCATCAGTTTGTTATTCATATAATTATATAAATTTAATGTCAGATTCTTTTACTTCATTGAAATCCTGTCTCTTTTGAAAACACTTTTTTAAGGTATTGTTGAGATTTATGTTATTGGAAAGTAGATTACAGTATATATATATATATAGCTTCTTCTTTTGAGCATATATGAATTTCTAGGAATATAACATGTTTTGACCTTGGTATGTTTAACTACTCTTGTAATCAGCCTAGTAGTAGTATTATATATTCCATATAGTTGCAAAAATTATAAATTATGTTGTTTGATAATTTTGGTGATTTTTTTATTATAAGGTTTATTTTGAGAAAAAATAGCTTTAATAGTTTTTGCTTTGATATGGATCATCCATTTTTTTTTGAAGGTTAATATATTATTTATAAAAAATAACATATAACTTGATTTTATATTATGACTGTGAATGATTATAAATATGAATATTTATTGTTTATTCATATTGATTAAAGACTGCTTTGATTTCTTGACATGAATAATTTCAGTTAATGTCTATCAATAATAACTATTAATAATATTTCTTTTTCCTCCTTTGTTTTATAAAACACTTTTTTTATTTAATGGTTGGTTGGAGCTTAATCATTTGTCCATTTTTAAAGTTATAATAATAAAATTGTTTTCCTTCTTTATATTGATTTTTTTCAGATATCATAATACATATTTTTTCTCTTTATAATAAAAAGGTTGTCTAAGCATTGCTATTGATAAATTCTTTTATAAAGGGATAGAAGTCTTTTGGCAAACCTAATATATTCTGAAATATACTATTTGTTCTATTTCAGTTTCTCCTAAAAGTCTTGAAATAAATATATTTATTTTGAATTTTTAATTTTCTTGATATAATATAGATTATTACTAGATATTCTTCTATTTCTTGTCTTATATATTTGTTGTTTTATTATATTATCTCTTTTAATTTTTTTATTGATAACTTTTATTTTAATTTTGTTTTCTGATTCTTTGTCTCCCATTTTGACTTTAGCAATGATAGGAATTTTAATTATTGTGATTGCTTGAACTTCTATAACTATTACCTTATTAGGTAAATTGTCAGTAAAAAGATCACTTTTGACTATCAACTGATTTGTTGGCAATGGTTGTAAAATATATTATATTTGTTCTATCTATTCTATTATATTTAGATATTTGTTTTCTAAAAAGGAAACCAGAAGATTTTTTTTTTATTTTATAGTTCATATGTAGAAGGATATATTATCTGAAAATATTGACATTGGTAAAGATAGTATGATTTATATCTAGAATTCTAATGATGATACTATTTATAATCGAGTATCTAATTAGATCTGAAGTTGGATTTATAATAGTTTTTTAAATTGAGATGACATTTAAGAAGATTTGTAAGTCCTATAGTTTTCTTTATTAATTATATTTATTTATTAGTTGAACTAAAGTTTCAATAATATATACATCTTTTTTCTTAGTAATATGTAAAATTTTATGTTTTCTTATAGACATATTGATCATATAATATAGAGAATAGTTTGTTGTATATAATATTAATATGTTTTATTGTTTTACTATTTTGATATTGTTAAAGTTTTTAAGTTAGTTAATGATTATCACTTGTTTGTTTAAGTAACACTTGTTTGTTTATTTGTTTATATTTATTTATTTGCTTTTATTTATATAAATAAGATATTAATTTAGTTATTGTAAACTGTGTTACTATTTATATATCTATTGTATTTTTTGATAACTACTATTATATATGAGTATGAAGTATAAATATATTAAACAAGTTATTTATTAGACATGTAAGTAAATTGTTATTTAAGCTAACAAATATAACATATTTGCATTATATAATTCTAAATATGAAATATTATTGTGTTGTTTATATTATACTTTACTGTTGAGTAATTGAGGCTTGGATATCCTCTTAGGTGTTGTGGGTTCTGAACTTTAATTAATTTATTAGTTAAAATTATTGCTTATAATGTTTTTTTTGGTATCAAGAAAGGTGTTGGCCTGCACTAATCTAACTGAGAGCTTTGTAAAATTGAGATTGGATCTTCAGGAGCTCAATATAAATCAGTTTTCTTAGAGTTTTCTTTCCTTGTGAAGAAAAATTATACTATAATAGTTTTTTTTTGATACTTATTCTGTAATTGTTATTACAAAAAATAAAATATTTTGAAACTTGATATTAAGCTATTATTGATTTTAAACTATATGTTTTTTAGATATTGGAGGCTAGCTTCTTAATTTTCAAAAAGATTACCAAAAAAAAAAATTTTTAAGGAAACTGGGAATCAGTAGAAAGGGTTTTGTTTAAATAAAAATATATTATAATAATAAATAAATAAAAATAACATAAAACTTTAATTATTTAATCAAATATTATAAAATTTACATATATTATATTTTATACTTATTCTATTTCTCCTATTTTTTTTAAAAAATTTTTATAAATAAATTCAAAAGTTTTATTATTGTTAAATATACTGTATATATATATATTTTTAAAAAAATTTCATAATTTTTGATTATTAATTAAGGATTTAAAACTAAAAATTTATAATAAAAACATAGTAAATGAACTTAAACATTTGAAAGCAACTGTATAGTATATACATATATAAAGAACTTAGAAATATATTAAAAGTTATAAGTGGACAAATCCAAAAAGAATTTAAATAGTTGGGATTTTTAAATTCATGAAAAAAAATAATTAATTAAAAAAAAAAAAAAAAAATCAAAATATTATTGTAATATTATATATGCAGAATATGCAGTATATATAGTCAGCTAGATTGGCTTGGCTATGAATTAAAAAATTTTTGCTTGTTACGTAATCTAAATATACAAATAATTCACTAATATCGTAATACGTAGGTAATAATTAGGTAATAATATAATACTTTAATCTCTCAATTAAGATGTTTATCTTCAAAGTAGGTCAATTCCTTTTTCCTTTTTTCTTTTCCTTGTTCGCGTCGGTTAATCGAGTATGGGTGCGCTTCATCACGTTGTTTTTTTCTCCTAATCCTTAGTTAGCGGTTACTGTATAAAAATTTTTTTTTGAATGCAGCACGACATATATATTTTTTTTCACGTGATTAAAATGACAAATCGGTTGTTGCTTTCGGTACCGACCGTACAGTTTCATTAGATGAGCACGGTATATGATGACAATCCTTCCCTAGCGCAAAGGGATGCTTGGGCGAGAGAACAATCGGAGTTAAAGTTGAGATTAATCGAGGTCGATGATCTAAGTTTCAAAAGGATCACTTTGGATAAAGACGGGATGGTGGAATTTGAGGGATTAAATTTTATCGGGGGTGTGGATGTCAGTTTTATTGAGAATAATGAACAAGATGCTGTAGCGTCTTTGGTGGTCCTAAAATATCCGAGCCTCGATGTAAGTTTATTTCGTCAACTTGTAGCTTCATTTTCTTTGATTTTTATAATCATGTACAGGTAATTTATGAGGATTTTAGAATGGTTAAATTGAAACTTCCATATATTGCTGGTTTTCTGGCATTTCGCGAGGTCAAACCTTTGGTCGAATTACTTAGTACTCTTCGGCAAACAAATCCCACGATCTACCCCCAGGTAATATTAGTTGACGGTAATGGCACACTTCATCCAAGACGATTTGGATTGGCTAGTCATCTAGGGGTTCTAGCGAATGTTCCTACGGTTGGTGTCGGAAAAAATTTTTTACACATCGATGATGGCGACAAGATGTCCATGAGTTACGTAAAAAGCACGGTCAAAGAATCTCTGAGAAAAGGAGGCGACTCTTATCTTCTCCGAGGGGATTCGGGAGTAGTTTGGGGAGCGGTGAGTGTAAACCACTTAGACACCATCTATCCAGCAAGCTTACCGTTTTACCTTCATTCATAGGCCGTACGGAGCCTGGAGAGTACAACCAATCCAATATATGTTTCAATTGGGCACCGGATAAGTCTAGAGACTGCCGTTCATTTAGTATTGAAGTGCTGTCGATATCGCATTCCAGAGCCCATAAGACAAGCTGATGTTCGATCGCGCGAATTTGTTAGAAGTCGTCTTGATAACATTTCTTAAATTTTATTTTATTATTCGATTAATATCGCTTATAAAAACACTTGAACATGAAGTAAATTAAATAGGCCACAAAACAATGTAATAAATAAATTTGCGATTTTATATATATATAACATTTCTTAAGATGATGCAATGTGTTTAAAATTACACGGAGTAAACATAATTAGAAATTTAACTTAATCCAGCATTAATCGGAAGAAAACGAATATAAAGATAACATGATGATAACCGCTGCGTGCCACCCAGTCAGTGAAGAACGTAGAGCATATAATCCATATATTTCTAACGACTTTCGGTTAGTAACTTGGTGCAATCCCGTCGCAATAATTAAGGATGTGGCGTCTCGCCGGAAAACAAGAAAATCGAAGGCATACATTTATGCCCACATCCTGTGGGGCATTCAATCGATTTTTTAAACCAATCTTCCATATGGACAAGGTGGCCTCCATGACTACAACCTTGACACCAGGCATATAAACCTTTTACCGGAGTGTGGCTGCAATGAGAACATACATATCGAAGGGTGAATTTTCATGGAAAGAGAGGCAACCGAATCAAGACAATTAAATTCAAAAGAGTCAACCAACCAAATAGAACATAAATTTAATAACTTCAGACATTTCTCACACATCCAAAAGGTATTCCTCGAGTTAGTCGATGGTTTCATACATTTACTACACGCCGTATAAACAGTTGTTGATTGCTGCACAAACAAGGAAAATATTTAGATTTGTTGATATCATACAATTTATTAAAAGAAAAGAAATTAATCCCACCTGATTTTGTACAAAAACAGATTGAATCTTGCAAGATTTGATTACAGCCGTGGCTGTATACCATAACTTGAACCGATGCAAGAGTTCTGGATGGAATAACAACAAAGTGTCATTCTAAAAGCTATCCAGCCGATAGTAAATAGCAAAAAATTCCCTACCGATGTAGGAAAAGAACCATTGCTCCACAGTTTCTTGATCAAGTTTAAACTTGTCGCCTAGTACCATAACCAACGTGACACACATTTGTACGTCACCCTAAAATAGAAAACAAATTGAGGATTCAAAATCACTGATAATTAAGTCATTATGGTATGTACCGACCTGTTCGATGTAATATTCTAGCAGCTGAGTCATCACCCTTTCCTGATCCCAAGGTATCCTCATCGGTGATTTGGGTTGAATTATTTCTCTAGCGGGACGTTTGGTATGTTTCGAATAGTCATCTCTGTCAAAAGGTTCAATGTCATAGTCTTCTTCATCGGTTTCAGGTTCGGCATCGTCCTATAATCGAAATACTATATTAATTAATCAGGACAGTGGTAAAGCATTTACGGAGAATATATGTAATCTTACATCTGGCACATTGTTATCTGCTTCCGCTTTATACTCGGATTCTTTGTATAGATCAAATTCTTTAGGTTCGCTGGGGGATTTGGTTTGGAATGAATCCTGCTCTAGGCTTTTGTCTTCAGATGAAAGTCATTTAAAAAAATATATATATATAAAAAATAGAAATAAAAAAAAAAAAAAAAAAATTAGTAAGGACCAGTAAGTAAATAAATGACTGGTCATCTGAGACAAACTTGAATTCTATCAACAAACCATTGGGATTATCCTGTGTTCTCATTCCGTATAGAACTTGTACTATCTTCCAGGTCTGCGCAGTCCGAAGCCGTTTCACGTCTCGCGCGATCTTTTGTATTAGCGACAAGGCAAAGATCCAATATTAACATACTACAGGATGAACCATGAACTTCATTTGAAACTTGGATCCACCTTGAAATTATGTTCACAGGCAGCCCACACGTCGGAATCGGAAATTATGTAGTTTTTTGCGAGATATTCGAATGAGCTATAATCAAATGTTGAGAGGGAAACCTCGCTAGTTCTTTGTTGATATTGAGAGTGTGTCTGTCAAATGGTAAAAGCATTTCATTTTTAGGACGGCAATAAAGATTAACGGCTCATCTCGTGACAAATATAATTATGGACCTCATTGTGAGATTCAGTGTGATATTTTCTTTGTGTTTTGCGAAATTGGAGACTGGTAGAAGTGTATTTGGATCTATTTGAATGCAAAGAAGATTGCCGTCCAATAATTAGTTTAGCGAATTACGCCGGTGATAATTGTGGATCCGTTTATTCGGAATACTTGCTGATCTTCGGTGGTTCCTTCGTTGGAACCATCAATGACAAATGTAAAGTTATCATACGCACTCCAACCGATTCCACTTTTACTCAGCAAGTCCAAAGTATTATGAGATAGGCTTAAGTCTTGTCGAACGAAGCATTTATCTTTGGAAACTGACCAAAGCATATCTTGATCACGCCACAGTAGTCCTAATTAAAATAGAAAGTATTAAAAATACGGAAGGTGACAGATGAATTAAGGAAAAGGGAAATTGGCGAGTTAAAATTCGATAGACCTGTTGGCACATCTTCGTGTTCCTCAAAGAAGAAACTCGATATGTACGGTCTTTTAAGATTCCATACAAATATTCGACTATCATTCAACATCGCGCACGAGGCAATCTCATCGGGATGATTTGGCCTCCATTGTACACGCGTGATACCGTTCATCGTGACAATCACATCCCTTTCCTTCTTAAAATCTTGACTCATGTCCCATACCTTTAAGACGAGCAATTGGAAATGCAATTAATAGTTAATTCGATGACGGATCATATATGCAAACTCTGCCATCGAATAGAAATCACACGAACTCACTTTAATCGTCTTATCGCGACCACCACTTGCCAAAGTTCTTCCGTCCGAATTCCAATCGATCGCAAGCACCGATCCAACGTGTGCGTTGAATTTTCGTTCGTACGTAGTATATTTTCTGAAATCCCACCTCTTGTCATGTGCATATTACAGATGAATAATTTTAAATGCTATCACCTAAAAGCCATGACACAGCAATCACAATAATGTCTTGCATGACGATGATAACTACCTGAATTGTTCCACTTTCAAATGCCGCGGCAAAATCGGATTGACCATGAGAGTTAAATTGCACATCACGAACGCCATCCGACTTTCCTTGCATTGTCATTTTTGAAGACGTCGGCTCTCTCATATCCTGAAAATTCCTTGGTGAAAACCTAACATCTCAACACATAATAGAATTGTCGGGTGATATTTAAAACACCAACCCATAGTTTTATTGTACCGTCGTGTGACCCGCTCAAAAGATATCCTCCGAAAGATGAGTTAAAACATATCCTGTTAACGGCGCGCACATGTTCGGAAAGTTTCTGCTCTGAGGTAAACACGAAGAATAAATATTTTTACCGAAGAAGGAAAAAACGCATTCCATTATTTACCCATTTTCGCTCTACCATTCCCCAGATCATAGATGAGAATAGTTCCATTTGTTGTCGCCGTAGCTATCTTGTTCTTCGAGGCTTAGTGACAAAATTTATATCAAAAAAAAAAAAAAAAACAAAAAACAAAGGTGTAAATCTTTTTTTCTCGTTGCAAGTGAATAATAGGAAACCTTCAAATTACCATTATTTCCCCATTTCACGTCACTTACAATATATCTGCTAATGGCTTTAACCCTTAGGTTGTCTTCCTCGACGATTTTCTGGTCAGAAACGTTCAAGATTTTTACCACTATTTGGGAAAAACCGTTGGGTCGAATGGATCTGGGTTATCAGCGTATAATGCGTTTTTCAATAAAAGAACATTTTATGAATTGATCATTGCAATCAACCTTCACGTCCTGACACAATTACACGAGAGAGATCTTGTGATGCCGACAGGGAACTCAGTTGACTTCCAAGGTTGTGCCTCCTGGTGAAGCTGGTCTTCTTTTCTTTATTTTGATCACCCCACGGATGACTCATGGGGAAAGCAAAAGATGAGCTATGCGGATTGCTTGAATACGTCGGTTCACCATAGTTAGTCCATGATAAATATGCGGCTGGCTGTGTCACTTTTGACCATTTCGCCAACGTGGTTTGTTTCAGTTGACCAGACATTGTGTTCTGACATTAAGGAAGTCGAAGATGTTATTGAAGATGTCAATCTTTTTGTTTCAAGATGGGACGATGAAGAATTCGTAATTACATTCGCGATTCTATTAGTTGAAGGTTCCAATTACAAGGTTCTCTTTCAGATATCCCAAAATTACGCATATAAATTTCGTTTACAAGGACGGCTCACCGGTGAGATGCGATCCTTGTGGGGGAAATAACTTTTTCTTAAATTTCTAACAAACAATTGAAAATTAAAAGGCATTCAGAAGAAGCGATATAGTTAAGTAGCAAGCTGATCATATATTTATATGATTTTTTGTATATATCATGTGCAATTATTGTGATCGCCTTTCACTATGTATAAAGTATACAGTATATACATATTAGTAAATTTAGGAGTTATCAGTATCCTTTGACCCGATTATAAAAAAAGTATGTATGATATCTCTGGAACCGTTGCGCGAATAAAATCAATGATAATGATGTGGTTTATTATTAGCAGAGATTTGCACACTTCAAAATAGATAGACATTGAATTAGTGCGCATTGGAGAAAAAAAAATAACAATACAATAAATAACAATGATGCTCGAGCGTATCAAAGTGTCAATATCGATATGTAAATCCAACCCAACCCTTTTTTCAAGACCAGAAGATAATACCGGTCACACCGCACCGTTTTCCGAAAGTCTCGTGATTTTCATTCACGCATACACAATGAAAGTTTTTTGTGGCCGCCATCCGCGTCCATGAAATCGAGAATTGTGGATGCGCACCCGCGATCATGTCAAATCTCGATTGAACGCAACTTTAAATCGAAATGTTATTTGGGATAGGGGAGGTTAATCGATGGTTCTTTATTCACGATTGCGCATTGACATTAACTACTCTACAATTGTCCGAGTTAAAAAATTATTACCGAGGCACTTGTGGAGCGCACCTAATACCCGGTTCGCTGAAAACCGGGGATTGGCTCCTGTATGCACCGTTGATTCCTTTCCTGTCTTGAACTCTTTGTCAACATCGTTTATCGTAAATCCCGCGAAGTAATATATAAGCGGAGAACCATAATTAAAAAATCCATACCTGGTAGATACAAATCGGAAAACCAAAGTGGTGGTGATTTCAATTCATGTGACGAGAGATGTAACAGATAATCTACATGTTACTTTTTTTAAAAACGATTGTCAAAGTTTCTCCTCGGTAATATGATGAGTTCCTTTTTGATCACACGAAATGTTTCATCGAAATTTCGAGGTTTTCACAAGCTCAGTAGGACATTGCGTCCGATCCTGAATTTCAAAGATTATCTGAGATCATACTCTACCATTGACGAAGGTGCTAAAGCTGTTGTTATTAATTAATACCCGGGACTCGATAATTTACTAAACATTTTCATTCGGACAGCATTTAGACCTAACGATAGGATTTATGGTTTTCGAGTGGAAGAGGTAAAAAAAATTTTCCTGCCACGCAATTCCTCAATACGTTAGGTAAATCCTCAATAATCCCTTCGTACAGACAAGACGTATACCGGAACTTCAACTTACAGCGGTGCGGCTCGTCCACGAGGCCACTGGTGCGGAACACTTGCACATAGCACGCGAGGATGATAACAATGTTTTCGGTGTAGGATTTTCTACCCCACCCACGGATAGCAGTGGAACGCCCCACATTTTGGTATAAAACTACTACTATCCTCGTCATTCATCTCATCTTTACACGGCTCAGCATTCATTTACTTCGCATTGGTGGACTGAAGGAACACACGACGCTTTGTGGCAGCAAAAAATTTCCCGTGAGGGATCCATTCTTCAAGATGTTAAATCGCAGCTTGGCCAATTTCATGAATGCATTTACAGGTTCGTTGGATCTTTGAAATCGAGGATAACCTTTGCCTCGTCAAAAAAGTTCTTCGCCAAGTTTCACCGACTTATTCGTATTTATTATCATCGTCAAGCCGATGATTACACCATATATCCATTTTCTACCACGCATCGGCTGGATTACGAGAATTTGAGAGATGTTTACATGGACTCGACGTTTCATCCAAACTTAAGGGAGCTCGATTTCAGACAAGAAGGATGGAGATTGGAACATCAGGTTCCGCAGGGTAATCTGTGAAATTGGTACGGCCTAATTATCTACCATCGATTTTAACTCGTCCACTTTTATAATATAGATAGGTCGACGCCTTTGCAATTCAAAGGGGTGGTGTATAACGAGATGAAAGGACAGATGGTAAATGAATTAATCATATGATCGACTTGATTGATCCTTTTAATTGAATGTCAATGTCACTCCCCTCGCTAGTCGGATGTGGGATACCTATTTTGTTCGCAAGTTCAGAAACACATGTTTCCGGGAACTTCATACGAGCATAATAGCGGCGGCGAACCGAGACATATTACGGATTTAACATACGAGGAACTTTTGAGGTTTCACCGATTTCATTATCATCCAAGCAATGCAAAGTTCTATACCTATGGTAAGACTCTCATCATGCAATGGTCTATTGTCCTACGCGTTTTATGAGGGTTCAGGTTCTTATTGGTTCCACAATAACCTTGTTTTACCATCATTGTAGGAAACTTTCCCCTAGAAGAACATCTGACGGTTATTGACGATAAGATAAAGGGGTTCGGGAAATCAAAACCCGACAAGGGTGTCAAGTCTCCCAATTCGTCCGAATTCCCAAAGAGAGTGAAAATTTCTGGACCTCTCGATCCAAGTGAGCGGTCAATAATTCGAATGAATCATGGTGCATTCTTAGACACGAAATTTCACAATTGATTGTTGCTTCGCAAACATAATTTAGTGAATAGTCCTGAAAAACAGACTTGGTTTTCCATTTCCTATTTGGCATGCGACACAAACGCAAGTTATCACAATAATCCTTATTCCGTTTTGACGACATCGTTGGTGGGGGAAAACAATTTATTTATCTTTACTTCAGTTTATTGAGAATGCAATATCATCTGATCTATGCAGGACGTATTCGAGTCATTCGCGCTGAGAATGTTTGCCTATCTGTTGCTGGATGGACACGCATCGCCAATGCATAAAGCATTGATAGACACAAATATAGGTTCTGGATTTTCTGATAACACGGGATACGACAGTTCTACCAAGTATTTCTATCTCTTATTTTCTCTTATCTTTCTCATTGATACAAAAGCACTTTCAAAATGCCCAAGTTAGTAATCCATAGTTATTATCCCAAAGAATGAGCTCATTATCTATTGGGTTACAAGGCATGAGGTCACAAGACATAGAGTTGGTAAGCGGATCTGATCTCGATCTCAATGACTCGAAAATGGAAAAAAGTCTGAATGTTTGTTTATCTTTATTCATCTAGGCGGAAGAAACTATCAAGAAGGTGTTTGAAGATGTACGCAAGGATGGGTTCGACCCCAGACGCATTGAGGCAGCTTTGCATCAGACAGAGTTGGGCAAAAAACACGTGAGAAATCATTCTTGTATGCCTTAGAAAGCATTTCTACAAACTCATGGGAATCTTGTCCAGAAAACTGCGGACTTTGGGCTGAATCTGATGCATGGCCTGAGTTCCGGCTGGTTTAATGGCATAAATCCTGCTGATCTCTTGGAAATCAATAAGGTGGTTATTTGTCATGTCTAAGGTCGATGCCACGAATTCATCTCTAATGCGATAATCTCGTGCCTTTCCTGATCTCCTTTCACCACAAGAATATCGAAGAGCTAAGAGAAAAAATCAAATCCGGTCCATTCTTCCAGTCCCTGGTCGAAAAACATTTCCTCAACAATCCTCACACTCTCACCTGCATAATGGAACCCGATCCAAACTTCACCGAGATCATCAATGCCGAAGAATCGAAGCGTCTAGAATCGAGAATATCCACTATGACGCCATCCGATCAAGAACAGGTTTATGTGCAATCTTTGGAATTGCTCAAGAAACAAGAAGAGAAAGAGGATCTATCAGTGTTGCCCACGTTGAAGGTCGAGGATATACCATTGGAGATGCAAAGATTCCCACTGCATATCGATAATATCGACGGATGTGAAGTACAATGGAGAAAGACGGCAACTAATGGGATCACTTATTTCAAGGCCTTTGACAGGATCGAAGGTTTACCGGAGGATTTGAGATTGTACTTGCCTTTGTTCACCCAGGTTTATCTTGCGTGCTCTGCTGAGTATGTGGTGCTGCCCCTTAAGAATTCTTTTTAAGCGATTCGTTGTTTGCTTGTAGGCATTGACGTCATTAGGTACGAAAAAAAAAACTATGGCCGAATTGGAAGATGAAATTCGTCTTTATACGGGTGGGATCGATTGTTCTCCCGTTGTATATACCAATCATTCCGGTGAGATCAATCTCTTCTCGTTTTCTCATCAACACAAGATGCATCGTGTTAGGGTTAAGGATGAATAAACTGAAGTGAAAATCGAAAATTTTCAAAGACCTGTCCAAATACGAAGACGGAATCATGATGGTGGGGCATTGCCTCGACAGAAACGTAGATCGAATGTATGATATAACGAAGCAGCTTGTGTTAGAAACGAATTTCGATAACATTGACAAATTGAAAACTATTATCTATGGGGTGAGTTTCAAGTTTCCTTCTTCATCTTTTTTTTCAAATGGGTTCCTTGGTGACACGGAAATTCCACACCGCTGCCCAGAATGCTGTGAGCGTTATGAACTCGGTCGTTGAATCTGGTCACGAATATGCAAGATGCTTTGCCGCTTCGCGAATTGCGCCTGCAATGGTATGTGCCAAACGAGCTTACTTAATTCTGGCGCTCGTTTTTCGATGTGGTCGACATCCTTATTATTATGTCCACAGAAAATTTCAGAGACATACAGAGGCATGACTCAAGTGCATTTCATGAATGCACTCGCGACAACCGATGATTTTCAAAGCATTGCGAATAAACTGAAGGTAATTTTATTTTATTTTATTTTATTTTTTGTATTTCGTGTTTGATAGATACATCCTAAAAACCTTCCAATTGTTCAACGAACTCAAGGAAATATCGTCATTCGTGTTAAGCCAACCTTCCGTAAGAGTCGCAATAACATGCGACTCTGAAACTGTGAGACCAAATGAATTTGCATTACATAACCTTTTAAAGGAGTTACCGAAGCACGAAAATAGGTTTCATACGGAACAGGTATGAAATGTGTCAATGCGCTTGGTGTGTCTCATTCAATCGACTCATTGTTGTCACCGAGTCATCTTAATATCATTTTTCATTTTTCTTTGTTTATTTAATTATGTGTCCATCAATAAGACTAATGCCGATTAAAATAACCTGATGCTATTTTGCAAAACAGTCGGAATTCCCGATACGAAATGAAAAGGCATTTTTCCCACTCCCATTCTCCGTCAATTTCAGCGCCGAATGCTTCCGGGGAGTACCATACACACACCCTGACGGAGCAAAACTACAGGTAGTATCCTTAGTCGTGCTGCAAGTCTTTCGCTATGAAAACAATACCTCAATTTCCTCGCCATAATTTAACGCAATCCAGGTTCTCTCATCGTTGTTGAGGACTCACTACCTGCACCGTGAGATTCGTGAGAGAAATGGGGCGTACGGTGGCGGGGCGACGTATTCATCAACAAATGGAATTTTCTCGTTTTTCTCTTACCGAGATCCCAAGACATTGGAAACTTTAGAAACCTATCGCCAATCCATCGACTGGGTTTTGAATCGGAAGTTCACCCAACAGGTGAACCCCGCTTTTATTCCTATTGGCATCTTGTTGATCGTCTATTATTAGGGCTTGCAACCGAACTCTTTCGTACGTTTTAACCAATTTTAAGGAAATCGATGAGGCAAAATTATCAATATTTCAAGGTATTGACGCGCCGATAAGCGTTGCACAGGAAGGAATGATTTATTTCGGCGATCGAATTTCTGATGATCTAAGACAAAGGTATTGATTGCATTTTCGCTCAACTTCTATTGGTTCCCCATTCCAATGTTTAATGAATTTTTGAACCTCGTCGATCAGACGACGCGAACAGTTACTGAATGTGACCGAAGAAGATGTTAAATCCGCGGCAAGCGCATATCTAAAACAACACGAGGCAACGAAGGATTACTCTGTTGCCATCATTGGCGAGGAGAACGAGGAGATTGAAAAAAATGATGAATACAGTGTTTACAGGTTAAAGATCGATGGGAATGGGGGTGAAGAAGAAGATTAGGATATACTGTTTGTTATGTAGTATACTATTTGAATCAAAACTTAAAATAGTTTAAATAAATAAATTCCTAGATTGTTATGTTCTCATGAGCAAACAATAATAAAACTTATTTATAGGTGATCATTTGAGACCCTGTTAAACATCATGATAAAGTATCATTTTTCTACGGCGGGATCATGAGATGAATTGAAGACGACGCGGACAAATGTTTTCAAAGAATTGACGACCAAACATTATATATGTGTAATTTAATGTTATTTTAGTTGCAATTAATGTTATTTTAGGTACAATTAATTGTAGATCTTTTTTATGCTAATGTAACGAGGGCGCATTGTTCACAGCCTGCATGTTTTCGCTGTGTGCATATTGTTTTTGCAAATATGGTACGTCCGAAAATTATTCCAACATCTTTGGTTCTCTAAAGGTGTCCGTGTCCAAGTTGAAACAGTTATCGAAAATCAATTTTCACTTAGGGCAAACGAAATCTCTCCTTAATTATATTTACGTCGAGAGAGTTACCTTATACGCCTAGGCTTCTGCACGGATGGTTGTTTTTACTCTGGTAGCCAGGTTAATCGAATGCATCCTAACAATTGGACCAACCTTCCGAGGGCATCAATAACTCTCTCGCAACTTTGCAAAGATCGGGTAATTATTAATTACAGAAACTTGGGCACATCGTTTGAAAGATTGTGACACATGATTGAACATTCTTATGGAATAATGTGATACAAAGGACATATCCTTCGTTCTTGAGGGCAGCGAATCAATTTCGTTCAAATGCACACGTATCTATGTAAAATACTTTTTTGAGATAAGCAGACAAATTGACATGATAAAGAATTCTTTTGAATGAATGCGCGCACACGCTTATCGACGTCAACAGAAAAGTGAAGAATAAAGAAACCAAAAAAATATAATTTCTTGCAGAGTAATACAAAATCTGGTTCAAGACTTGCCCCTGGGTTTGACAAATACTCCGAGAGTAAACAAGATATTCTGAAACTATGTTGATGCAAGAACCCTAGACTCGGTACGTTGCTTGGGTTAACTTTGCATTTAAAGTTGATACATGTTGATAGACTCTTCATTAAATGCTAATTTGCACCCGTTTCACTACCTTTTAAAGTGCATCAATCATGTAAATGAATACATTTCCCTAGCCTCAATTTGGAGTATAAGTATGCACTTATTCTGGTTACCGTATAGGTATGAGATTTGAAATTGATTAACTCGTAGCATGGGCATCTTGTGACACAAACGAAACAGTTTTAGCGGTATTTTCGGTATTCCGCACATTTGGTATAAAAGGCTTTCGACCACCTGCCTCAAAATCCCACGCATTACATCGACAACCTCTCAACAACCTGCATACGTGAAATTCTTGGTCTCCAAGAAGTTACAACAACTATTGCTCCAAAGAAGTTCTTTCTAATATCCTCACTCTCACAGTGATCCTATCTAATCTGATCAATCCAATTTTTTGTTTGTAAGCATCTACGTAATTTATTTTACGCCATTTTTTTTCAATGATTAATTCTTTTCCCTATTATTATCACGACATAAACTAATTGTTGTAAATCTTATTAATCATTATTAATGTCAAACTCCAATACAAAGAAATAAAATTCGGTCTGCTATCTAAAAAAATTTCATCGTCTTCTAAAATTATTCCTTGACGAGGAATGCTCGCTTCAAAGGCGTACCCCATGAATGTGAAAAAATCTTTGCTCGCCGGTGAAAGTAAAAATGACGAGAAAACAATTCTAGGAAGAAGCAGTGTAAATCTAGAACTCCCTGGTTCGGCTTCTCATAGATCGAAAGCATGCCCAAATCTTCCTAAACCACGTCAAACCCTTGGCCCATCCCATATGGAATTGCCCTCCCCATCACCAACACCGAAGTCTCCATGCTTCGTTCATTCCTGCCTCGATCGATCACTTCCATCGCTATCCGAAATTATCAACAAATATGACAGTGAAATCACGGAATATTCAAACCTGGCAGAAACCGCCGTTAGTGTACGGGAGATATCCAAGAAACTTGGTACTTTAATTTAATTTAATTATTTTTCATGCAATTCAATTCACTTTTATCATCGTTTAAAATCGACGACGACGAGATAGTGACTGGTGTTTTTGAATTTTACCAGGTCAGGCTCGTATCCAGAGTTTCATGAAAACCGTCATGATAGTCACGAAACCCGGCGATTTACGCCTGATAAATCGTACGCGCGAGTTAGCCATGTATCTGATCACCACTCATCGCTTTGGCAAGGACCATGGAGTCACCGTGTACGTGGACAAATCACTAAAGGAAACCAAAAGACTCGACTATAAAGGAATGCTACAAGAATCACCGTTGGTCAAAGACTACTTGAAATTTTGGACAGACGAGTTGTGCGCTAAACGCCCGGAGCTATTTAACCTTGTTCTTACGGTAAGGCGCGCCTATTTACATGAGAGCTTCGAATTGATCTCTGACCTGACTCGATCCTCATTTAATTTAATTAGCTTGGTGGCGATGGAACTGTGTTGTATACATCTTGGCTGTTTCAAAATGTGGTTCCGCCAGTTCTACCCTTTCACATGGGTTCACTTGGATTTTTGACAAACTTTGATTTTAAAGATTATCCAAGACACCTCACAAATGCCATGGAGAAGGGCATTCGAGTAAATCTCCGAATGCGTTTCACCTGCACTGTGTATCGCAGAGTGTTTAATCCGGATTCCGACGTTAAAGCCAAACGGTGCGCCGAAACCGGCGAGATCATGATAAAACATTATATGAACGACGGAGGAAGCTGGGAAGCTCTCGAGTGTAATTCTAATGCGGATGCTGATCATCGATTCTCTCAAGACAAAGACTTGACGTGTTTGACCACTCAACCGTATAAAACTTTCGAAGTTCTGAATGATTTGGTAGTAGATCGCGGTGCCGGTCCTTACATGAGTTTGCTTGAATTGTTCGGTAGGTGTCAGAAATGAGACGTGCATACTACCATTATATTACCATTCATCCAATTTATTTATCTTTCATAATTATCTGTTCGTAGGTGATGATCAACACTTGACGACTGTTCAGGCTGACGGTCTCGTCATCGCCACACCCACCGGTTCAACCGCATACTCCGTGTCGGCAGGTGGTTCGCTCGTGCACCCTTCAATACCCGCACTATTGATAACCCCAATATGTCCGCATACATTATCTTTTCGACCGATGCTTTTGCCGGACTCCATGGAATTAAGAATATGCGTTCCATATAACAGCCGTAGCACGGCGTGGGCAAGTTTTGATGGGCGAGGCAGAATTGAATTAAGACGTACGTTTAAGGTTTTGTCGATGCATAATGTATTCATGAATTGAGACTCGAACTGAATCTTGTGTATCATTTATTTTGCAGAGGGTGATCACATCAAGGTCACACCCTCCAAGTTCCCGTTCCCGACTGTCTGCCGCGATTCACAATCACAAGACTGGTTCAATTCAATTTCGAGATGTTTGCGTTGGAATGAACGCGAACGGCAAAAAAGTTTTGTGGTGGTGGAAGAAGGAAATGGCGATGATGATGATTATGAAGAGGAAGGGGAAGAAGAAGAATCCAATGAAGATGACGTGTCGACTAAAGTTGGTGAGAACAGCGAGCAAGAGTTAACTGAAGCCGGAGATGATCGACTACAAAAGACTAATAGGGATGATGTAAATAGTGTAGGAGTGAATGTTAATCGATCATCTCACCATCGTCACCTATCAAATAAGTCACACCACGACCACGCATTCGTTTGTGTCGGGAAGGACGGATCAGATTCGAGTAGCAACAATAGTAACAGTGGAGGCGAAGAAGAATGGAAAGTGGTCTCGCGCAAACATAAAAAGAAGAAGTAAGAGTATGATGTGACTTTATTATGCATATTCCTATAGGAGAATTGATTTAAACAAGAAACCCTGTACAGTCTTATGTATTTATTTTTACATATCTAGAATTATTTAAAAAAAATTATCTGATAATAGAATTGTATATTGTTTTGTTCATATAATAATAAAAAAAAAAAAAATCTTAATTTTTTAAGCAGATTAGGCCCTTGATTATGATAAAGTTTCTTGTTTCGTGAATTCGATTAAAAAAACGACATCGACATCATCCTTACTAAGTTCACAAAGTTTAATATTTGTTGCATTGAAAATTATAAACGAGTTTTCAATGTAACTATTTTAAATATTTAAGTACTGTAAGTTTTTCCAATCAGATCATTCCTATATATCCAATATCGTTTACATATTTAAATTTAACTATTATGATTTTAAAATAGCATTTTAATTAATAATATCGGCATTAAAAATGGTTAAGTTGATAAATACACTTTAGGACCGCTCTTATGATTTACATAAATTTGGATTTAGCATTAATAGTCCTACGTGCATACTGTACAGACGGGAGACACGAAATTGGGATGATTACAAAATCAATATACATACTACATCATAATAATGAAGTATCAAATATGTACTGTATCTTTGTGATTATTCGTAATAATAAAAACTTTAGCTTTTTGTTTCAATTATTTATTTACTGTAAATAAAAAAAATTCATGTTATATGCAAAGAATGGATTGCAAAAAAGATTTTACAGTCACAGTCAAAGAGCATCACATGATAAAGATGCTTAAAGATGAAGGCAAAAATTGCTTAAAATCTACAACAGCAGTTAAAAATTGTTTTAATAGGTTAGAATCAATTGGTTCTATCAATTATATCAAAAGAAGAAATAGTGGATATAAACTGATCATCGATAATAATAATAATAATAATAATAATAATAATAAAAGTTATAAAATAATCTTAAGTAAAATTAATTTTTAGATAATTTAATTTAGATAATTCTTTATTAAATTAAATATATTTGAAAAAAAGGCAATTTTTTTTGTCACCTACTGTAAATTTCATATAGAATTTAAGTTTCTATGTTTGTATATATTTTAATGAAAACTTTTTTAAAAAAAAATTAAATTCTATATCATAAAAAAAAAATACCTATAATTAATAAAAAAAATCATATAAAATAATTAAAATAGACAAAAACATATAAAATTAAATTAATGATAATTAAAAACTAGTCTTGGGAATTGATAAATCTATTATAAGTATCAAATAAAAAAAGTTAAATTTGATATTAAAAAGATAAATTTTTTATATAAGCAATTATAAAAAGCAAATAAAAATCAATTATAATTTGAAGATATATAAATGAACAAGATTTATATTATTTGATTTGTATCTTTTTTTATATAAATAGAAAGAATTTTATTTTAAATATTATTTATTCAATAATTTTTAATTTCTGAAAAAAAAAAATCTTATAAAAGAATAATATCTCAATTTACAAATATAAACTTGTAAATGAACTTAAGTTAAATTTATAATTGTATCTATAAAATATCAATATAATTATTAGATTTTAATTCAATTAAAAATATCTAAAGAGAAATTAAAAACTGAATTTATGAGAATTATAATTTATATAATAAATTTGACTTGAAATAAGTTATTATTATTATATATAAAACTATTATATTTGATAAAATTTTAGATTATATAAATATAATATCAGATTATATAAAAAAATAATTAAAAAAAGGTTATATAATATATTTCATTAATAAATTATTATTATTTTTTTTTAATTTACAATCATGCTATAATAATATGTCTTTATTGAAATATTGAAAAATATTACAATATTTATAGACTTTCACAAAGTGACTAACTCATCATTATATATTATTAATTAAAGGACTACACTAATTAAAAAATATAAGAAATTCACTAAGTTAATTTGAACTAAACAAAACTAAATCTAAACCAAATACTCTAAGTTAGATTTAGTGAATAATATTATACTCTTCTAGTAGCTTGGCATAGAGCCTCTAAGTCAACCAAAATCATTTTCAATAGTTTGTCATTGTTAATTATTCTGAAAAATAATAAATTGGTAAAGTTAGTACTGGAAATAAGGGAAAGAGAAATACAATTCAAAATCTTCCAAAAGATTCTTGTACTATTTCACAGTTTTCTCTTAAAAAGGGTTTACTTGATTGGAATATTTTTTAAGTTTCATAATGAAAATGTTTAAGAAACGTAATTATTCTTGAAAGTGTCTTCAAGAAGAATATTTGAAAAACTTATCTTTTTACTAATGTCAAATTTATTTAATGCTACTGGAGCCAATATCATATTATAAAAAAGTTTACCTAATTGGAATAAAGAAATCTTTGCTTAACTGGAATAGAAGCTTGAAGACCTTAGCTTTTGTCCAAGAAAGTCTTTCATCACCTAAAGAATTTAATGAGAAATGGGAATTAAATCTTCCTTTCCTATTTGTTACATGCCTTTTAGTATTATAATTGTTTTCTAAAGATTGAACATATATGATTGGAGGAATACTTTTTTTAGACCTTCTTTTTTATGTCATCAATAATATATTGAAACATATGAGTATAACTAATATATACTTGTTTATATTTCAAAAACTGATGTGTTTTGTATTAGTTAATTATCTTTAATAAGGATTTGTGTTATCCAAAATTCAATATCAAATTAAGATAGCCAAAATTCCTCAGAAAATCATAAAAATAGGAGCTTTAAGAAAGCCAAAATGGTTAAAAAAAGAGAAAATAAGTCCTTTTACTGTAGAAAACCTCTATAAACTTTTTGCTTTAAAGATTAGAAAGATTTTCAGGTACTTTATAGTCAGTTCTTTTTTCTTTAAGAACTTTCTTACTATTGATATCAAAGGTGTTACTTGATTTTTCTTGGTTACTAGAAGTCAAGTTTTTGAGTAAAGAGATTTATAAATAATAGAAAAAGAGTAAAAGTGACTTTTAAAATTATATTTCAAGTTGTTTTAAGAAAAGTATTAAGATTTTATTAGTTATACTAATCAAAATTATGTCATTCAGCTACTGAATTATTGCTGAATTTAGCAAAATTAATAATAAAAATATTGACAAATTATTTATGATTGTTGCTATTTAGCATTAAAAATATTGGCATTCTGCAAAAAAAAATTTTGGCCCAAAATCTGGCAATATTTACATACTGTGGTAAAAAATTCAGCAAAAAAATCTCAATTAAAATAAGATAATTATATAATCATCTAGTATAGATATTCTACTTATAAAAATAAATAACAGTTATATAATTTTTTATATCTAAAATTTTATCATATAATTTTCATTTATTATACAAATTATTGCAATTACATTTTATCAGTTTTCTCTAAAGTCTTGATCAAAAACAATATATAGAATATATAAAAATAAAGTTTCCTTATGAAATACAATGTCTTTAAAAATGATAAATATTTTTATCTTTTTTTTTAAATTATTCTTCAGTTTGTAAATTCTTAGTATAAAAAATAGCTCAATAGTTACTCCAAAGTGAGAGCTTTCGATAAAATGTATCCTTGAAAGGGACATAGCTTATAAACGTGATAAGGAAAATTAAGAATAAACAGTTTTTAATAGTATATAGATCACTTTTTTTATCTATTATCTAATCTTTTTTTAAAACTATCTTATTTTATTATACACTCATTCATTCAAATTAGATAATCAATAATATTATAATAATTCCATATCATTCATATCCTTCTTTATTCTTTTGTATCGATTATACCATTGATTACAAATTTGTTTTGATGTCCAATATTCTGTATATCATGATAAATCATTAACTAGCCTATTAATGATTTCCTTAGATAATATAGTGGAGTTCTTATATACTTCAAGCTGATTTAGGATCTGTTCTTCAATAGTGGTGGGCTTGTGTATCATATATTTTATTGGGTGTAATATTTGGAATGGAAATTCTGTAAGTAAACTGGTTTCATATAATGATATCGGTTATAAGTTTATATTAATTTTTCCAACTTTCATATTATGTGGTTCTGAAGTCTATATAGAATTGCTGCTTGTTTTCCCTATTATACGATCAGTCTCCACCCTTACACATTTCCTATTTTCTATAATCTTTATAGGTATTAAATCCTATCTTCCTCGATCTATCTTCACTTGTATAGTAATATGATAAATATCCTGTTCAACAATAACATTCATTCTTTCTATTCTCAACTCATAGCAAACAAACATTTGTTGATAACCATTATCTGTTAATTGTGTACTTTTTATAAATAAACTATGCAATTAAGTTATGGATTATTAAATTCTACTTTTAGTTTAGCAATTAATCTCTAAAGAAACTCTTAATGATTTTTAATAGATCATGAAGTTCTATTCAATAATTGATCTTTAGTAAACTCTAAAATCAACAAATTTATTCAATCATATTCTGTTTGTGCCATCTTAATATTTCACTTCAGATTCTCAAGATTTGTTGTCTGGCCAGTCATATTTTTTTTTATGAACTTAATCTCAAATGTTTTTAAAGTTTCATCAAAAACAAAATAATATCCTTCTTGTATCAAATTAATAGAGAACACTGATCAAAAATCTTGAAAAATTTGTGATTTACTTTGAAAATCTAACAGAAATCATGCTAGAGACTCTGCATATCTTCTTTTTCCTATAATAGAAAATAAAGGTGCAAATGCTATCAAGCTGTACATTTGCAAATCAAAGTTTACTATATAAATGTCAAGCTTATACAATTTCAAATATTCTGCCCATCAATAAAAATTATATCACACTTTTAAAAAATTATTATTTTCTTTAGAAACATCGTTAATAAAAATATTCATTTCCTTGACATATAGATGGACTGCAATGGCTATCATTATCCAAATAAGTTCAAGTACTTGAAATATTACCCAATAGTCAGCAACTTGCTCAAGTTTATTAAAAAACTTAACACCAAGTTGTGCGGCAAGC